GGGGCAACTAATCCAATGYTTTTTCTTGAATTTAAAATTGTTTACTTTCCAATTACTGCTGCCAAAATGTAAAGTTTAATTTCCTTTTTGCTTCACAACAAAACCAGAATTTCTGGTAAGTTGCTAAAATCGTTCTAAAAGTAGTTTCTGGTGCTTCACTGTAGAAAAGTTACAGATTCTGTCCCTCCTTGTTTTTTTACACCATATAATTATCCTCTAAACAGTGAAAGAAAAAGAGCTGTGTTCCTTGCAGAATGTTTATCACACGTTTGTGCTTTTTCTTTCCTTCTGCTTTTGGGAGTGTTATGACCTGTAGGTTGGCCAGATCACAGCATGAAGGATCCATCCTCGTCCGACTTCAAACTGTCAACACACATTTTTAAAAACATTTTATAGTGGTATTTATTTAAAAGGTGTGTTTTGCATGAGTTCTTAAGAAAAATGGGAGTATCTGACTTCAGAGGGAGATAAGGCCAAAAACAACAAAATGAAAACTATCTCATTAACCCAGACTTACCTATTTAAAAGTAAATAAACCAAATGACAAAAACTTACCTCCCTAAATAAAATGAAMAGGAGAAAACTAAGTTCAAAAATAAATGGCAGCTCACTCCTACAATCTCCTGTGTGTATTTATATGGKCACCTGCACACTCCGATTGCATAATCAACCTTACGACATCAGTTGTAACAGGGAGTGATATTGTCTGCTAAAATAAGCATTCAGCATTTGTTTATGTTTTGCTGTTGCACCAAGCATATTTTTACAGCCCTAAATGTAAATAAAATAAAAATGAGTTCTGAAAATGAGTAAAATGCAAACAAAGCACAATGAAAAGCCAAGAAAAAATTAAAAACCTCATAGAATTATTGAACAAGAAAAGAAGGGACGATTTAAAAAAATGTTTGAAAAATATACAAATGTTGGGAGAACTGTGGTAAATAAATAAACAAACACAGTGAGGCTGGGTTGTGGGGATTTAATGAAATATAAATTCAAAAAAATCTTCAGTGCCTTAATCTGTTATATTTGTATTGGTAAGTGGACTGGACTTACATAGCCTTTTATCAAGTCCCTCCAGACCTCAAAGCACTTTAAACTTACAGACATTCACACACTGATGTGGTAAGCTACATTGTAGCCACAGCTAAGCTGCCCTGGGGCTGACTGACAGAAATGAAGCAAGGCTGCCATAGACTGGTGTCACCGGACCCTCTGACCACCATCAATAGGTAAGGCAGANCATCTGAGACGGACTGACGCAAAGTGGAAAAGTGTCCTGTGGTCTGATGAGAACACATTTCATATCGTTCATGGACGTGGTGTCCTCCGGGCCGAAAATTAAAATAACTGTCTCGATTGTTATCAGCACAAAATTCAAAAGCCAGCTTCTCTGATGGTATGGGGGTGTAGTAATGCCCATGGCATGGGTAACTGTCACATCTGAAATGAGTTTGCAAAATACAAGAGATGATCATTCAAATATTACATTTCTTGTCTTTGTAGTGTATTAAATTGAATACAGGTTGAAAATGATTTGCAAAACATTGCTTTCTGTTTTTATTTTTACTTCACACAACATCCCAACTTTATTTGGGGTTGTAATAAATAAATGATAAATTGAGAATGTGAAAGGACATGTAATGCAAACAACCATGAAGTAAAGTTAAAAATGTTAAACCAAAAGGTTAATGTTCTAGATTTTAGATTCTTTAAAGTAGGCACTGTTTGCTTTGATTAGTTGTGAACAAAATGTGAAATATCAAGAACAATTGTTTCTTCAAATACATTGAAAAACAGTTCATTTTTAACTCATATATAAATTCACCAAAACAAAATGATTTTCTGCAGGTGCACCACAACTATGTGTAATAAATAAAACTCTGGTTACCTTTTTGACCACAGACAATTTTAAAACAGCATAATTGGAGTCAGCACCACTGGATGACTTGGCTTCAATAGTCAGAGTGACATCAGTGCCTGATTGTGTGCTGGCAGGTGGAGTGATGGTCAGTGTCTGATTACCAGCTGTTCCAGTCGTCAGGGTGAGGCTGTCGAGAGGGAAAAAATGCACTTTTAGGATTAGTTTGAAAGAATTTGTTCAAATCAGAGACGAAGATTTATAGAGAGCCAAAAGGCAGAATTTTCTGCCAACATGTAATGGGAGACTCATTCCAGATATTTTTCTTATTCAGAAGCAATCGATAAAGTAGCCTTTTTCAGCAGTATTATCTCGCCTTTCAGGGAACTTC